CATCTGGTCACGGTATTATAGGCAGGTGTTCCTGCACTAGAGGGAGTGTAGAGATTAACCAGGATACTGCTTGGGCTGGAGTGTCTGAGCTAATGAAGAAAGATTGGATGGGCTCAGGTTGTTTACTTTGGAGGACCAAGGTGTATAAGATAATGAGAGGCATAGACAGAATGGACAGGAAGACAGATTTTCCATTGACCATGGATCAATAACCAGGGAGTATATAGATTCAAGATAAGAAGTTGAAGACAATGCACAGAGTTGAGGATTATGTGGAAGTTTGGAACTCACTGCTTGAAAGGGCTATTGAGTCAGGAACTTGTAACGTTTAAGTATATTTAGATATTCACTTGCATTGGAACAGCCTCCAGGGCAAAGAGCCAAAAGCTAGAAAATAGATTGACTGCTGCAGATACAATGAACCAAATGACCTCCAAAATGTATTTTAAAGTGGTGAGCCAGGAAGAAAATTGTGCTGATATAGCACTTTTACAGCAAATGAAATACTGTTTTTGCAGTTATTCACTCAACACTCACTGTTGTTCTGTACGAAACATGGCAGCCATTTTGCATTTAGCAAATTCTGACAAACATCAAGGTGATAATGATCCCTGCTCTTCTTCAAAATAGTGCCATCAGATCATTTACATCCACCCAGGCAGGCAGATGGGGATTCGGTTTCATGCTTGTTGGTTCAGCTCGATTGCCCGGACAGCTGGTTTGTGATGCAGACTAATGCCAACAGCGTGGGTTCAATTCCTACACTGGCTAAGGTTACCATGAAGGATTCTTCTTCTCAAACTCAACCCTCGCCTGCGGCATGGTAACCCCCAGGTTAAACCACCATCAGTCTTCTCTCTCTCTCTCTCTTTAATGAGAGAGTGTCCTTACTAGACTATGGCAACTTTACCTTTACTTCATTCGAAAATAGAGGTTAGTTAATCATAGATGCTTTTTCATTGGATGCAGATATTACAATGAGCAGAATTATGAATGAGATGGAGCTTCACAGGCTAAAGAGTGGACAGTTGGTAAGTAAGGCTTTATAGCATTCGGGCACCAAGATGGTGATGGGAAGGATTACACTTTTATTGTCAGAATTTTTAGATCTAACCCTGACTTTGTTATTAAGCCTGCCGATACTGACCTCTACATTGCAGAGGCTGAGTGCCAGCTCTCAGATACCTCCTTTTAGCTTCTCTTGGAACATCAGCCCACCATGACACATCAGGCCATTGTATCCACGACGGTATCTGATCTCATTTCATCCGGTGACCTCCCCCCGACTCTGCTTCCAAGCTGATAGACCCCCAGCCCCGCACAGCTCGCTTCTACCTCCTTCCAAAAATCCACAAACAGATCTGTCCAGGCAGACCCATTGTTTCAGCCTGCTCCTGCCCCACAGAACTCATCTCTTCCTACCTTGACTCAGTCTTCTCTCCTCTGGTCCAGTCCCTGCCCAAGTACATCTGTGATTCCTCTGATGCTTTACATCGGTTTCACAACTTCCAGTTTGCAGGTTCCAACTGCCTCCTCTTTACCATGGACATGCAATCCCTTTACACATCCATTCCCCACCAGGAATGTCTCCGCTTCTTCCTGGAGCAAAGACCTGAACCGTGCCCACCCACCACCACCCTCCTCCACTTGGCCGAGCTCGTCATCACCCTCAACAACTTCTCTCTTAACTCCTCTCATTTTCTTCAGGTAAGAGGGGTGGCCATGGGTACGTGCATGGGCCCGAGTTATGTCTGTCTCTACTTGGGGTACGTGGAACATTCCTTGTTCCAGTCCTGTTCCAGCCCCCACACACAACTCTTTCTCCGATATATTGATGATATCATCAGTGCTGCTTCCCTCTCTCGTCCAGAATTGGAAAAGTTCATTGATTTCACTTCCAATTTCCATGCTGCCCTGACTTTCACCTGATCTATCTCTGACTACTCCCTTCCCTTCCTCGACACTTCTGTTTCCATTTCTGGGGATAGACTGGCCACTAACATCCACTATAAACCCACTGACTCCCACAGATACTTGCACTATACATCCTCACACCCTGCTTCTTGTAAAGACTCCATCCCATTCTCTCAGTTCCTCCATCTCAATTGCATATGTTCAGATGAGGCCAACTTCGAAAAGGGAGCCTCCGAAATGTCCACCTTCTTCCTCAACCGAGGATTCCCCAGCACTGTTGTCGACAGGGCCCTCAACCAGGTCCAACCCATCTCCCGCACTTCCACCCTCACCTTTCTCTTCCCTCCCACAATAGCGATAGGGTTCCCCTTGTCCTTACCTACCATCCCACCAGCATCCACATCCAGAAGATCATTGGACGCCATTTCTGCCACCTCCAGCAAGATGCCACCACCAGACACATTCCCCTCCCCTCCCTTATCCACCTTCCGCGGGGACTGTTCCCTCCAGGACACCCTGGTCCACTCTTCCTTCACACCCAACACCACCCCCCCACAGCCCTACGGCACCTTCCCCTGTAACCGATGAAGGTGCAATACCTGCCCATTTACCTCCTCCCTCCCCAGTATCCAAGAGCCCAAACATACCTTCCAGGTGAAGCAACACTTCATCTGCACTTCCCAGAATCTAGTCTACTGCATTCACTGCTCACAATGTGGTCTCCTCTACATCGGGGAAATAAAGTGTAGACTGGCTGACTGCTTCACAGAACATCTACATTCTGCTCACGAAAAAGACCCTAAACTACCTGTTGCCTGCCACTTCAACACACCACCCTGCTCCCTGGGCAATATCTCCGTCTCTGGCTTTCTGCAGTGTTCCAGCGAAGCCCAACGCACGCTGGAAGAACAACACTTCATTTTCCACTCGGGGACCCTGCAGTCCTCCGGACTCAATGTCAAGTTCAATAATTTTAGGGCCTAAACTCTCCCATTTCTTAGCCTCCTACCCCACACACCAGGCCTTATTATCACATAATAAAAACCGAAAGAACTGCGGATGTTTTAAATCAGGAACAAAAACAAAGTTTCTGGAAAAGCTCAGCAGGTCTGGCAGCATCTGTGAAGGAGAAAACAGAGTTAACATTTCAGGTCTGGTCCAGAACTGGTTCTGAAGAAGAGTCACCGGACCCGAAATGTTAACTCTGATTTCTCCTTATTATCACATAGCCTCCAATCACATACTACCTATTGTTAGTCACTAACAGTCCCCATTAACAACTATTCACCCTCCTAGCTGGATTTTTATCAATTCCTTTGTCTATCTAACTGCTCTTCTCTGTCTTCAGACTCTATCCTTTCATTTACTCCCTACTCCACCCCCTCCCTTTCTTCTGCATATAAGCTGACATTTTCCCAGCTACCATCAGTTCTGAGGAAGGGTCACCGGACCTGAAATGTTAACTGTGATTTTTTCTTTACAGATGCTGCCAGACCTGCTGAGCTTTTCCAGCAACTAAAAACCGAAAGAACTGCGGATGCTGTAAATCAGGAACAAAAACAAAGTTGCTGGAAAAGCTCAGCAGGTCCGGCAACACCTGTGAAGAAAATCAGAGTTAACGTTTCAGGTCCAGTTCTGAGGAAGGGTCTGTGAAGGACTTGCTGAGCTTTTCCAGCAACTTGTGTTTTTGTATTTGCATTGTGTTGTTCTGCACTGTGGACAGTAATCTTCCGTCATGACACCATAAAATATGCCCTTGAGAATTCCTAAAACTAAAATATGAAGCATGGTATGTAATATCAGTGTTGTTTTATCACAGAATGATTTTTGTTCATTGGAAACAATGCAGTTGCTTTGTTCAGCAATATACAGAAACACAGAAACTCGGAACAGGAGTCGTCCATTTAGTCTTTCGAGCCCAGTCTGCCTTTTGATAACGATCGTGGTCGATCCTCTATCTCAATGTCATATTCCTGCTTTCTCTAAATACCTCCTGATGCCTTTAATATCTAAAAATTTACTAATCTCTTTATTGAATATATTCAGTGACCTGGCCTTCACAATGTTCTGTGTTGGTGAATTCCTCAGGATGACAACCCTCTGAGTGAAAAATTGTTTCCTCATCTCAGTCCTAAATGGTTTACTCTGTATCTTGAGAGCAGTGACCACTGATTTTAGACTCCCTAATCATGGAAAACATTCTCCCTACATCTAGTCTATTTAGCCCTGTTAGAATTTTATAAGTTTCAATCAGATCTCCTCTCCTCCTTCCAAACTCCATTGAACACATGCTCAGTCAAACTAACCTCTCCTCATATAACACTCCTGCCACCCCCAATATCAGCCTAGTGATCCTCCTCTGCAGTCCCTCTCCGGCAAGCATATCTTTCTTACTGTGGGAGACCAAAACTGCGCTCAAGGGAATAAAGTGATAATTTTGCTGCAATTAGCTTCCTTTCTCTTTCATGATCTACACCGTTAAACTGTTACCAGAAATTTATGCTTTGATGTAATGGTGTAGGATTATCAAAGTGCCACTAAACATTTCACTGACGTAAGAACAGATAAAGAGAGGAATTGTGATTATTCTATTAACTATGTTTGATACTTGACCAAAACTCCAAAATTGAGTTTGAGAAACGCAGGAAAGAAAACAGTTCCAACCTGGAGACCACCTTACTGTCTGGTGAATTAAAACATTTAAAACTCCACTGTAGCTGTGGGTTGGCCACTCTGCTTGCACAGTATGTGGCTCTTTGAAGAGGTCTCCTTGTATAAACAGTGTCTTATTCAAAGCTTGACGTTACGAATGTAAAATGATTCTGAACAAATGCACAATGTAGCAGACCACTGGCTCGATTAATCAGACAGTTTCTGTGTAACGTTACAGATTTTGGTCACATTTTGTGGTTAGGCTTCGTGTCTTTCTCCACTCTTCAGTTTTATTACAATTGCAAATAAAGCCCTCCCCGACAATTATACATTCAACTGCATGGAGCCAAATCAATCTGCAAGTTAAACATCATCTCAATCGTCTCAAATGTTTGAAGAACAATGCAAAGCAATAAAAGTGCAAAGATACTTACTGCGAGGAACACCATGCAGTACATGGAGAACGATGAATGGCCAGAGAAAAAGGAGAGCCTAGTGGGGTGAAGAATACAATGTTACTATCATCTCACTGAAGCGCTACTGCCTGGAACAAAACTGGACTTTACAAGTAAAGTCAGCGAATGTTGTGAAATGCATCTAATAATGTGGAAAACATAAAAAATTAAAAACATATACAGTTTGAAAAAAACTTTAGGTTAACACTGACAGCATTGTATTTTTCAAGAAATAATTACATTGCATATCAAGGGAGTTGTTGAAATATCTTTAATACCTTTCTTGTCTTCAGTGATTCACTATCACCGAAATGCTCTCCCACCGAGAGATCTGACACCTGACCTGGTTCGTTGCCAAGCACCAAATCCAATATGGCCTCCCCTCTAGTCACCCTATCTACATATTGAGTAAGGAATCCTTCCTGGACACACCTGACAAAATCTGCTCCATCCAAACTATTTGGACTTAGGAGGTTCCAGTCTATATTAGGGAAGTTGAAGTCACCCATGACAACAACCCTATTACTTCTGCACCTTTCCACAATCTGTCTCCCAATCTATTCCTCAGCGTCTCTGTTGCTACTGGGGAGTCTATAGAAAACTCCCAATAAAGTAACTCCCAATAAAGGGCCAGAGTGAGGGTAGGGCTAATCAGGGATAGTGGAGGGAATTTGTGCGCAGAGTCAGAGGATGTAGGGGAGGTCCTTAATGAATACCTTGCTTCGGTATTCACCAGTGAGAGGGACCTTGACGTTTGTGAGGACAGCATGAATCAGGCAGATATGCTCGAACAGGTTGATATTAGGAAGGAGGATGTGCTAGAAATTTTGAAAAACATGAGGATAGATAAGTCCCCTGGGCCAGATGGGATATATCCAAGGTTTGTATGAGAAACAAGGGAAGAAATTGCTGCCCCTTTGGCGATGATCTTTGTGTCCTCACTGTCCACTGGAGTAGTACCAGATGACTGGATGGTGGTAAATGTCATTCCCTTGTTAAGATAGGGAATAGGGATAATCCTGGGAATTACACACTGATCAGTCTTACTTCTGTGGTGGGTAAATTATTGGAGAGGATTCTGAGAGGTAGTATTTATGATTATTTGGAAAAGCACAGTTTGATTAGAAATAGTCAGCATGGCTTTGTGAGGGGCAGGTCATGCCTCACAAGCCTTATTGAATTCTTTGAGGATGTGACAAAACACATTGATGAAGGCAGAGCAGCTGATGTGGTGTATATAGATTTTAGCAAGGCATTTGATAAGGTTCCCGATGGTAGGCTCATTCAGAAAGTAAGGAGGCTTGGGATTCAGGGAAATTTGGCTGTCTGGATACAAAACTGGCTGTCCAATAGAAGACAGAGGGTGGTAGTAGATGGAAAGTATTCAGCCTGGAGCTCGGAGACCAGTGGTGTTCCGCAGGGATCTGTCCTAGGACCTCTGCTCTTTGTGATCTTTATAAATGACTTGGACGAGGAAGTGGAAGGGCGGGTTAGTAAGTTTGCCAATGACACGAAGGTTGGTGGAGTTGTGGATAGCGTGGAGGGCTGCTGTAGGTTGCAATGGGACATTGACAGGATGCAGAGCTGGGCAAAGAAGTGGCAGATGGAATTCAACCCAGAAAAGTGTGAAGTGATTCATTTTGGAAGGTCAAATTTGAATGCAGAATACAGGGTTAATGGCAGGATTCTTGGCAGTGTGGAGAAACAGAGGGATCTTGGGGTTCACGTCCATAGATCCCTCAAAGTTCCTACCCAAGTTGATAGGGTTGTAAAGAAGGCATATGGTGTGTTGGCTTCCATTGGCAGGGGAATTGAGTTTAAGAGCCGTGAGGTTATGCTACAGCTCTATAAAACCCTGGTTAGACCACACTTGGAATATTGTGTTCAGTTCTGGTCGCCTCATTATAGGAAGGATGTGGAAGCTTTAGAGAGGGTGCAGGGAAGATTTACCAGGATGCTGTCTGGACTGAAGGGCAGGTCTTATGAGGAAAGGTTGAGGGAGCTCGGGTTTTTTTCATTGGAGCGAAGAAGGATGAGAGGCGACTTGATAGAGGTGTGGAACATGATGAGAGGCATAGATAGGGTGGAGAGCCAGAGACTTTTTCCCAGGGCGGAAATGACTATTACGAGGGGGCATAACTTTAAGGTGATTGGAGGAAGGTATAGGGGAGATGTCAGAGGTAGGTTCTTCACACAGAGAGTGGTGGGTGTGTGGAATGCGCTGCCGGCAGTGGTAGTGAAGTCAGATACATTAGGGACATTTAAGCGACTCTTGGATAGGCACGTGGAGGATAGTAAAATGTAGGATATGCAGGGTAGTTTGATCTTAGTAGGATAATAGGTCAGCACAACATCATGGGCCGAAGGGCCTCTACTGTGCTGTACTGTTCTATGTTCTATATGATTGATTTATATTGTCCCACGTTAATAACTTTAAAAACCTTCAATGTTCAGCTAATCCAATACAATCATTATCAAATACCATTTTTCCAGAATGAGTTCAGTACAGTTTGTGTAAAGATCAACTAAACTGAGGCATGCTGAATATATTTCAATAACTGTCACATTTAGGTATGGACAATGAATGTTAGCCCAGCCAATGGTGCACACATCTCATGAATGAATTAAAAAAGAACTTCAGATAGAATTGTCGAGTAATTGTCTCTGATGCAACAGTGGGACCTATGATGGATCAGAAACCAGTAGGAAAAGTCAGCAGCTTTTGCTGTAGAACTTCAAGCGTTGTTATACTAACATCACACTTCTAAGTTCCCCAACAAAGGGTGGGTAGAGTTACACACTCGATCAGTTAAAGGGGCAATTTTAATTAAAGGAAGACTAGCATCAAGGGCAATCCATTACTTTTCAAAGATTCATTTGGACATATAGTCTGAACCTCCAGCAATCACAGGCATGGACAGGAGATCAGTCAAGGCTGTTTCCATGTGTCTCACTCCTAACAGGAGGTGTTACTGAGACAGCCAAGTGCTTGTCTTGAAGTGATCTTTCCCAAGGACAGGAAGAAGCCAAATGCTCAATCTAAGCTGGTGAGTATGAAGCAGGGCAAAGAAAGTTGCCAAGAAAGCCAACAATAAGGTTATGATCCCTCCGACCTGCATCAAGAGAATTAGCACCTCGAGAGAGTGGGCACACTGAGTGGCATAACACTCAGTCTCAGTACCGTGGTACCATTATACTCCCCAGACAGACACACATTCCTGTCTCGTTATGCACTTTCTCACATCTCCAAATGAACAGCCAATATTAACACTCATTTTTGTGCCATCTCACATCTATGCCTCACAGTCACAAACTACAAACACTGTCCTATCCACACATGCCATTTCTGAAATTCATAATCCTCTGCTTTCTCTCATTTAGTACAATTTCGGGAAGGCACAGATCTTGGGTGGGGGCCTGGCCCTCCAGTGTTCGCCACTAGAAATGCCTGTTTACCTGGCCCACTGGGAAGCAAGGCTTGTTCCAGGAAGCTACAGATGTCAGCAATGAACTGGAGTGAGAACCTCAGCCTCATGAAGCACAGATAATATTCACACCATCCACGTGGGTCTCACCTCAAAGGCATTTGCTCTGATCTTTGGAGTGGCATGTGCCTCGAGAGAAGGCAGCTGCTACTGGTGTTAGTTCTGCTGTTGCAGTTGTTATTAGTTAAGTTGGTATTCATGTGATTGCTGTGGTTACAGCTGCATTGGTGGCTCCAATGCCATGGTGTAGGCCAGATGTGAAGGTGCCAGTGTTGGACTGGGGTGGACAAGGTCAGAAATCACACAACACCAGTCCAACAGGTTTATTTGAAAATACAAGCTTTCGTAGCTTTTCTCCTTCTTCAGATATTAGAGAGAGAGGTAGTATCAGACACAGCATTTATAAGCAAAAGGTTAGAGGGTCACACCACTGATGAGGATGTACTAAATAAACCCAAGATGCTGTTAAATCTTTAATTATATAAAAGGTTTTATTTGATTAATATGTATACGTAAATACCCGAATTCCTTTCAAGTCACTGTCCCGACAGAACTCAAGGTTTTAAACTAAAGTAACATTTTAGGTCAGACAATGCAGGTTAGGTGTGAGGCCTTGTTTAGAATCTGTTTGTGTTTTGGTTTGGAGTCAGACTGGTTTTATTTCTAAAGTAGGAATTTATAAAACATCACATTGACTGACTGTCTATAAATTGTGTGCTTTTTGAACAAAATAGAATGTATCTGCAAATACAAATTCACCCAATAGACTTATATGTGTGTGTGTGGGAGTGTATAGTGTGGTGGGATCACCTGTAGTGTCACATGAACCCAAGATCCCGGTTCAGGCCATCCTCATGGGTACCAAACTTGGCTATCAGCTTCTGCTCGGCAACTCTACGTTACTGTGTATCCCAAGTCTGCCTTGGAGGATGTTTATCCAAAGATCCGAGGCTGAATGCCCTTGACTGCTGAAGCATTCCCCCACTAGGAGGGAACATCACTGTTTGGCGATTGTTGCGCGGTGAACATTCATTTGTTGTCGTGGTGTCTGCATGGTTTTGCCAATGTACCATGCCTCGGGCATCCACACCTGCAGTGTATGAGATAGACAATGTTGGCCAAGTCACGCGAGTACCCCCCGTGCACGTGCTGGGTGGTGTTCCCACGTGTGATGGAGTATCCATGACAATGATCTGACATGTCTTGCAGAGGTTGCCATGACAGGGTTGTATAGTGTTGTGGTCGATGTTGTCCTGAAAGCTGGGTAGTTTGCAGTGAACAATGGTCTGTTTAAAGTCTGGCGGTTGTTTGAAGGTGAGAAGTGGAGGCGTGGGGAAGATCTTGATGAGGTGCTCATTATCATCGATGATGTTTTGAAGGCTGCACAGAACATGGTGTGGTTTCTCCACTCCTGGGAAGTACTGGACGACGAAGAGTACCCTATCTGACATATCTCGTGTCTGTCTTCTGAGGAGGTAATTACGGTTTTTCACTGTGGCACGTCAGAATGGTGATCGATGAGTTGAGCATTGTATCCTGTTCCAATGAGGGG